CTCCCTCTTGAGATGGTTCGTCGAATTGGATGACGCCATAAGGGCGCGTCGCATCGACGACGGGGATATGCAAGTTGCATTTGCCCAGTCAAATCTGGCAGGACGTGCCAAGACTTGGGCACTGGGGCTCAAGTTGCACGACCCATATGCGTTTGGGTCGTTGGAAGTCTTCAAGTCGCGGCTCAGACAAACGTTTGAACCGCCTAGAGCTGAGTTCAGAGCTCGAACCGAACTCTTGAAGCTCAAACAGGGTAAGCGTGATGTGCACGCTTACGCTCAACATATACGACATCTCACGAGTTGTATAAGTTCCAATCCGGTGGATGAACACACGTTGGTTTCGGTGTTCATGCAGGGTCTTGCGGATGGTCCCGTCAAGACTCACCTGTTCCGGCTTGAACTAGATTCACTAGAACAAGCCATTTCCATTGCGGAGCAGGAAGACTTCAGTCTGAGACAGGCTCGCGCCAGCTCGACATCATATCGTCAACCGAGACGATATGACAACGGAGGTCCAGAGCCGATGGAACTCTGTTATGTAGAGAGCGAGAAGGCTCGCTCTACAGGCTACAAGAAGTTGCAGAGATGCAACAGATGTCAAAAGACAGGACACTACGCTTACGAGTGTAGTGCCCCTCGTCCAGTGTCTCGCGATACTGGGCGTAGTGACCGTCCACCCATGAGAAAGGGGCAGGGACGAGGGTCCGCAGTTGGTGCAAAGACGCAACAACGGGATGGACCGTCAAAAAACGGACAGGATCAGTAGGTGCGGAGCACCCTACTGATCCAGCAACGTCAAGAGAATTTGTAGGCTTCTTGATGAAGGTTGCTCCCAACACACAAACGTTGTGCGTTGCTGCTCTAGGTAATGAGGTCTCACTCATTACCTTGAAACTCGAAGTGACGAATAAGTTGTCCCTTCGAGCTCTAGTCGATTGTGGGGCGTCCAACAATTTTGTGCGACGCCAATCGCTAGAAGATGGTCACTTTAAATTCAGTGAATGTGACACACCTCCTACGAGGATGACGATACGTCTTGCGACAGGCGCATCCGTAACCGTCATGAAGCGTATAGTGAAGATCCACTATACGCTAGAAGATACCCAATATGACGATGACTTTATCGTATTGGATTTGGATGACAAATTTGATGTCATCCTTGGAATACCGTGGCTCAGAAGGTACGAACCACGAGTAAACTGGCAACATCGGACAGTAACGATGCCTGCCGCTTGTTCATCAGATGGCCATCTGATGAACGTTTTGGAGCGTCCACAAGCGTGTGGATGTACTACGAGTGAGTGCGATGGCATCACTTGTGGTACGGTCGTTAGTACGACTGCACAAAACCTTAGTGTACCAAACGGTTACACTTCGGAGCAAAGTTCCGGCGGCTGTGAGGAAACACAGGCTGCGCCGAAGGTCCACCACTCGAATAAGTCGGGTGGACTGGGACAAAGATGTATCCCTAGCGGGGAACATCTAGAAGAGAAACAATTGATCGCTCAGGTTAAGCGAAACGATAATCCTAGATCGACTGGAGAGTCTTTCGTAGAGGATCTCGCTGTGGTTGCGCAGCCCCAGCTAGAGGAAGTAAAGGGAATAAGTCCCAAGATTACAAATACGGCGGAAATAAGTTCCCCGAAACCCGCGGGAATAAGTCCCCGGGAAGCCGAAGGAATAAGTCCTTCGAAGCCTGAGGGAATAAGTCCCCAGGAAATGACAGAGACATTGAATGTCATAGTCAATAACGGATCAAGTGTAGGCGCTTATACACTTGATCTGATTGCGCCTCCGAAGTTGACTTCGGAGATCACTCAGTTGCCAACGCTCGAACATAAAAGGTTCTTGCGTGATCTGCGTAGTGGCAAAGTCAAGCAGATCTGCATACTCGTCGCTGACGACGAGTGTGTAACCGACATAAGGTCAGCAACAATGTTTACTGAGAACGAGAGAGTTATCAGTAGTTCATCTATGGACGAGAGTGTCCTAGATGAAAAGACACGAATTGAGCGATATGACTCCCAATCGTGGGAATAGCTCAAGGAAAATCCTCTCTATAAAGATTTGGTTGAATTCAAGGATATATTCCCTGAAACTGTTCCGTGCAAATTACCGAAGGATAAAGGTATTCGACACGAGGTCGAGCTTAAACCAGGCTCGAAGTACTGCGTCATGAAGCAGTGGCCACTGCCTCGTGAACAAGTACTTGCGATCGACAAGTTCTTTGCCGATCGTTAAGCTGCGGGCCATGTGAGGGAATCAACTTCCCCACATAGCTCTCCGACCTTCTGTGTGCGAAAACCAACAGGAGGGTGGCGGATAGTGCATGCATTCAATAAGTTGAATGCTGCAACGGTATTGGCTCAGACGCCGATACCGAGGAAGGACGTAATCATTGATGGTATGTCAAAGAGTACCATCTTTTCGTCCATGGATTTGATGGATGGCTTCTATCAAATCCTAATGCGGGAATGGGATATACCCTATACCGCAGTTAGCACGCCTAGCGGCATGCTCTGGGAACGGCTAGTAATGCCACAAGGGCTCAGTAATGCCCCTGCCACGTTCAACAGATGTGTATCACATCTGTTGAGACCAGTACGAGAATTCGCGCCGAGTTATTTCGATGACGTATTCATCCATAGTCGGGCTATGGATGGAAAGTCGGACGTTGAGGTTCACAGGTACCACGTCCGACAAGTTCTTACAATCATGCGAAAGCATCAATTGTATGCTAACCTCAAGAAGTGTATATTTGCAGCAAGCGAAATACCACTTCTTGGGTGCATCGTTGGTAAGAACGGTGTACGTCCTGATCCCGAAAAGATCAAGGCGATCACCGACTGGCCTGTGCCGGTTGATGTCAAAGGTCTTCGAAAATTCCTTGGGCTAGCGGCGTATTTGCATAAGTATTCACGCAATTACGCCGAGATGACTGTGCACCTCTCTCGTTTGTTGAAAAAGAACGAGAGGTGGTTATGGAACGCTGAATGTCAACGCTCCTTTGAGGGTATCAAGCAGAGCTTGATACAATCCCCAGTCCTAGCAATAGCCGATCAGGACAGGCCATTTCATGTGGTCTGTGATGCCAGCGATTTCGCAATCGGCTGTGCATTAATGCAGTACGATCTTGAAGGCGTTGAACGCGTCGTCTGCTATCAGTCGCGTCAGCTGCAACCAGCTGAGCGGAACTATCCAGTGCATGACAAGGAACTCCTTGCCATGAAGTATGCACTCGCGAAGTTCAGAGTCTATCTATTAGGAGATAGACCCTTCGTTGTTTACACTGACCATGCGTCATTACGCACGGCAGTGAACAGCCCGCACCTTTCACAACGAATGGCGCGGTGGTTGTCATTCTTTGCGGAATACAACTTTACGGTCGAGTACAAACCAGGACGACTTAATGTCGTCGCTGATGCACTCTCACGTCGTCCCGACTTTGAAACAGTCGCGAAACCCAACAGTGAGACAGTCACTGTTGCGGTTATGACGTCCTCAGTCCCATCTACAACGTTGTATGATGATGTGAGGCGGGCATACGCCCAAGATGGTGAGATAGTGAAGTTGTTGACACATCTCTCCCAACCATCTCGAGAATCGTTGAAACGATTGTCGTCTCGCGTATCGATCTGCATCAGATCGATACACTACTCGTAACGGTTTACTGTACTATACAGCCGTTTCTGGTGACACACCACGTGTTGTCATTCCAGATGATACTGATCTGCGTTTGCGGATCATGTTCGAGTATCACGATGCTCCTATAGGAGGACATCGTGGCCGAGAGAAAACATATCTCACGGTAAGTCGAGACTTTTACTGGCCCCGCCAGTATCAGTTTGTGCGAAAGTATGTTCGCGCATGCGAAGTCTGCCAACGAGTGAAGTCAAGTCCTTCACTGCGTGCACCTTTACAGCCTCTACCGGTTCCGGCTGAGTGCTGGGAATCCATCTCAATGGATTTCGTCTTCGGGTTACCCAAAGACGCACGCGGGAATACGGGTATTCTCGTATTTGTTGACAGATTCAGCAAAATGGTACACCTTGTGGCTGTACCAGAGACAATCACGGCAAGTGGCTGTGCTTGTGTCTTTATTGACACCATCTTCCGACTTCATGGGTTGCCCCGTGAACTCGTATCAGACAGAGATCCACGATTCACTGCTGATTTCTGGCGTTCCGTGTTCAAATCACTCGGAACGCGCTTGAAGATGTCGACATCTGATCATCCAGAGTCAGATGGTCAGACGGAACGTGCCAATCGTGTCCTTGAAGAGATACTTCGAGGATACGTACACTCCTTTAAGAGTTGGAGTGAGTTTTTGCCAATGGTAGAGTTTGCCATCAACAACTCGGTGCATGCGTCCACGACACATACACCGTTTTACGTGAATGGCTTGCGCCATCCGCGTGTACCCACCTTACTAGAGTGTAACTCTGGTTTAAGGGGGGAGGGACTCGCGCGAGCAAAAACCGATTTGGTTCACGCTCATCACGCTCTGACGAAGAAGTCATTGCGTTTGATGCCGATATCGATAACATCGATATCGAAGAAGATGATGCCAGTGAGAGTGCGGAAGCCCTCACTGAAGAAGATGATCCCAGTGAGAGTGCGGAAGCCCTCACTGAAGAAAAGGTTGATGTTGCTGCAGTGCGCTCACAGCGCACTGAAGCTAACGAGTCATCAGGATGAGTTCATACTGGCTCGTGAAACGGTAGTCCGTTTTGTGCAAGACTCCATCGCCGAAGCGGTGGATAAGCAAAAGCAAAACGCTGACAAGAATGGAAGGGCAAACACTCTTTTATTTAATAAAGGTGACTTAGTCCTACTGTCTACGGTTAATCTACCAAAGCATGTAGTGACTAACTTGGGTAGCAGTAAACTACTACCCAAGTACATTGGCCCATTTCGTGTATTGCACCGCCTAGGCAATGCATACACGATCGAGTTACCACGTAAGATGCGAACGCATCCCACGTTTTACGTTGGTCGGCTTAAGCCGTACCATCAGTACGCTGCTTCTTCCGATGAAGAACGCCCTTGCGCTCAAGCATCTCGCAGAGAGCCTTGTGCTCCCGATGGTGGGCATCAACAAGGGTCTGAAGAGCAGCTATCTCATCCCGAGACCGATCAGCAATCCCACGAGCTACCCTTAGCTCGTCACGAAGAGATGTCAGAGATCTCTCGTTCTCAAGCTGAGCAAAGGCAAACTCAGCTCGATGCTTCGAGGCAGTGTCCGCCATTTGGAGACGCCTATTCCGCTCATGTTCGAGATCGTCGCGTAACCCTTGCGTTACGCGATCAAAGAAGCTCTCGGGAACACACCGATCCACATGATCGTGTGGAGAGCGTCTTTCCTCCTCCTCCACCTCCATTAGAGGACTCTCGCGGTGGCCAGCGCTATCTAGTTGAGCAGCTGTTGAACCACCGCGACGTGAACGGACGTCGGACGAGTTATCTCGTCCGGTGGCGCGGCTATCCCCCGTCCTGGGATTCTTGGGAGCCCCGCTCCCAACTGATGATTGACGTACTGGGTCTGGTTGAGCAGTACGACGCGGCACATCCTGTGCCGCAGAAGGACCGCCGGAGAAAGTCTTCCCGGCACGGTCGTAAAGGGATTTCAGGTTGTCAATCCCTTCGTACATCTCAGTAGAGACACGTACGCGCCACCACGGGCTGGTAAGGAGGTAAGCCTCCTTAGGTGCTCGTGCAGAGTTGTTCACACAACATGGGCACGAGTCTCCCCAAGAGAGGCAGGGTAATCCTTTCTCCCTTGACAGACGATGCAGCTTGTAGCGTGCACCTGTCGGGGTTCGCTTTTCAAACTTATCACGAGCTTTGATAAGTTTGTCGTTCCAAGCGTCACGACCTACATCCTCGAGGTTATGGATGTAGGCGTTCCACGCCTGAAGTAGTGAGGGACCATCACGTTTGTGATTCCCACTGTACCATCGATGTCTAAAGAAAGCATCGATGAAGAATTCATGTTCAGCGCGATAGTTTTTCGCGCTGGGGTCAAGGTGATGGATCCTTGACGAATCGAACAATCGTGTCTCGATAACGATCACTCGTCGTCGCCGACAAGTGATCCATGACGGATTTTGGAGGCATCCATGCCTTCTTTTCTGGAGCGAGACGCAACACATTGCGGTCCCGCTCTTCCTGCGACGTGCCGACAGAAGTACTGGCACCTCGCTGTGAAGTGGTGTCCATTGGAGAACCGACACCACTATTAGCGCCCGAGTCTCGCGACCTCGAGCGCCTTCGCTTCGGCGATGGTTCATCTGATTCATCAGATGAACCAAAGATGCTGCGACGCAAAGCATCGTCCATGCCACGCTTGGCAGGCGGCTTAGATTCAATCGCCGTCGATACGGATCCGTCATCCGTATCAGGAGAGTACGAGACACCGAGCTCGTACTCTGTGAAGACACGAGTGTCTTCATGACCAGCGCCTGCATCACCAAGTGACACAGGCTGGGTCGCTTCAGCAACCGATGAGACATCAGTTGCTGTTGTTTCTGCTTCGGCGTCCGCACAGAGACGTGCAGACGCGCTCTCGGCGGCCTTGCTCGCGCATCGCATGGGCTTGTTTACCATGCGATGAAATGTTGGAAAGTGGACGCGGACCAACAAGTGCAAACCCTGTCCCAAATGATTTGGGACGAGTATCCATTTAGTCAATCAGTCACTAAAGTGACTGATGGTTAAGGGGGGGGGTGATGTAACGGGGTGAATCGTTACATAACAATTTATAAGAAATTGTTAATAGAATATAACTATAAGAGTTATATTCTCAGAATATTGTCATAAGGACAAATATTCTGTAGCACTTACGAGTAGTTCCTAATTGGTTGATATAGGCCATTATATCAACCAACGAAGACGCGCCACGACAGACGCACGCAATGAGTGGTGAGCAGATAACTGATTTACACATTTGTATTTAGACATAGTTAGATGAAGATAAATAGTGATTTATTGCAGACATTAACTATTATAAATACAGTTCTACTTTTTACTCTAACCAAGTACTCGCTTCTTCTTACCGTCTTCCCTCTGCACGTACGAGTGTACGTGAAGTTACGAGGCACCGCCTTATTCTGTTATCAGAATAAGTAGCTTGTACTGTCACCAGTACAAGCTTCAGGGTGCCCCGTTACACCTGGTAGCACTTCGTAGTCCGTCCAAGGACCGCGTTCACATCCAACATGAATATGTTGGATGATGAAGATGACCAAAGCTTTCACGCTACGCGTGACGGCTACTCCCATTTGAGCGATGTCGAATGGGATGCGGTTGAACGAATGGGTTCGACCATGGGCATCCATGCTGTTAGCGTCATGCTAGAGGCTCTCAATAGAGATGCCCAACATGCTACTATCGCCAAGTTCATTCAAAATGAACTTGACGCAGAACGCGAGAAAGTAGCCTTGCTTCACCAACAAGGTTCTCAACAAGCAGAGTTGTTGAGAGAACAAGGTGCTCAACAGTTTGAACTGTTGAGACAGCAGCAGGCTGCTGCTGGCGGGTCGATGCACTCGCGTCGGCCCGAGACTTTGAAGATTGACATCTCAAAGTATAGGGGGGTCGAAGAAGACTCCCTCTTGAGATGGTTCGTCGAATTGGATGACGCCATAAGGGCGCGTCGCATCGACGACGGGGATATGCAAGTTGCATTTGCCCAGTCAAATCTGGCAGGACGTGCCAAGACTTGGGCACTGGGGCTCAAGCTGCACGACCCATATGCGTTTGGGTCGTTGGAAGTTCTTCAAGTCGCGGCTCAGACAAACGTTTGAACCGCCTAGAGCTGAGTTCAGAGCTCGAACCGAACTCTTGAAGCTCAAGCAGGGTAAGCGTGATGTGCACGCTTACGCTCAACATATACGACATCTCACGAGTTGTATAAGTTCCAATCCGGTGGATGAACACACGTTGGTTTCGGTGTTCATGCAGGGTCTTGCGGATGGTCCCGTCAAGACTCACCTGTTCCGGCTTGAACTAGATTCACTAGAACAAGCCATTTCCATTGCGGAGCAGGAAGACTTCAGTCTGAGACAGGCTCGCGCCAGCTCGACATCATATCGTCAACCGAGACGATATGACAACGGAGGTCCAGAGCCGATGGAACTCTGTTATGTAGAGAGCGAGAAGGCTCGCTCTACAGGCTACAAGAAGTTGCAGAGATGCAACAGATGTCAAAAGACAGGACACTACGCTTACGAGTGTAGTGCCCCTCGTCCAGTGTCTCGCGACACTGGGCGTAGTGACCGTCCACCCATGAGAAAGGGGCAGGGACGAGGGTCCGCAGTTGGTGCAAAGACGCAACAACGGGATGGACCGTCAAAAAACGGACAGGATCAGTAGGTGCGGAGCACCCTACTGATCCAGCAACGTCAAGAGAATTTGTAGGCCTCTTGATGAAGGTTGCTCCCAACACACAAACATTGTGCGTTGCTGCTCTAGGTAATGAGATCTCACTCATTACCTTGAAACTCGAAGTGACGAATAAGTTGTCCCTTCGAGCTCTAGTCGATTGTGGGGCGTCCAACAATTTTGTGCGACGCCAATCGCTAGAAGATGGTCACTTTAAATTCAGTGAATGTGACACACCTCCTACGAGGATGACGGTACGTCTTGCGACAGGCGCATCCGTAACCAGTCATGAAGCGTATAGTGAAGATTCACTATACGCTAGAAGATACCCAATACGACGATGACTTTATCGTATTGGATTTGGATGACAAATTTGATGTCATCCTTGGAATACCGTGGCTCAGAAGGTACGAACCACGGGTAAACTGGCAACATCGGACAGTAACGATGCCTGCCGCTTGTTCATCAGATGGCCATCTGATGAACGTTTTGGAGCGTCCACAAGCGTGTGGATGTACTACGAGTGAGTGCGATGGCCTCACTTGTGGTACGGTCGTTAGTACGACTGCACAAAACCTTAGTGTACCAAACGGTTACACTTCGGAGCAAAGTTCCGGCGGCTGTGAGGAAACACAGGCTGCGCCGAAGGTCCACCACTCGAATAAGTCGGGTGGACTGGGACAAAGATGTATCCCTAGAGGGGAACATCTAGAAGAGAAACAATCGATCGCTCAGGTTAAGCGAAACGATAATCCTAGATCGACTGGAGAGTCTTTCGTAGAGGATCTCGCTGTGGTTGCGCAACCCCAGCTAGAGGAAGTAAAGGGAATAAGTCCCAAGATTACAAATACGGCGGAAATAAGTTCCCCGAAACCCGCGGGAATAAGTCCCCGGGAAGACGAAGGAATAAGTCCTTCGAAGCCTGAGGGAATAAGTCCCCAGGAAATGACAGAGACATTGAATGTCATAGTCAATAACGGATCATGTGTAGGCGCTTATACACTTGATCTGATTGCGCCTCCGAAGTTAACTTCGGAGATCACTCAGTTGCCAACGCTCGAACATAAAAGGTTCTTGCGTGATCTGCGTAGTGGCAAAGTCAAGCAGATCTGCATACTCGTCGCTGACGACGAGTATGTAACCGACATAAGGTCAGCAACAGTGTTTACTGAGAACGAGAGAGTTCTCAGTAGTTCATCTATGGACGAGAGTGTCCTAGATGAAAAGACACGAATTGAGCGATATGAGTCCCAATCATGGGAATCGCTCAAGGAAAATCCTCTCTATGAAGATTTGGTTGAATTCAAGGATGTATTCCCTGAAACTGTTCCGTGCGAATTACCGAAGGATAAAGGTATTCGACACGAGGTCGAGCTTAAACCAGGCTCGAAGTACTGTGTCATGAAGCAGTGGCCACTGCCTCGTGAACAAGTACTTGCGATCGACAAGTTCTTTGCCGATCGTTTAGCTGCGGGCCATGTGAGGGAATCAACTTCCCCACATAGCTCTCCGACCTTCTGTGTGCGAAAAGCAACAGGAGGGTGGCGGATAGTGCACGCGTTTAACAAATTGAATGCTGCAACGGTACCGGCTCAGACGCCGATACCGAGGAAGGACGTAATCATTGATGGTATGTCAAAGAGTACCATCTTTTCGTCCATGGATTTGATGGATGGCTTCTATCAAATCCTTATGCGGGAACGGGATATACCCTATACCGCAGTTAGCACGCCTAGCGGCATGCTCTGGGAATGGCTAGTAATGCCACAAGGGCTCAGTAATGCCCCTGCCACGTTCAACAGATGTGTATCACATCTGTTGAGGCCAGTACGAGAATTCGCGCCGAGTTATTTCGATGACGTATTCATCCATAGTCGAGCTATGGATGGAAAGTCGGACGTTGAGGTTCACAAGTACCACGTCCGACAAGTTCTTACAATCATGCGAAAGCATCAATTGTATGCAAACCTCAAGAAGTGTATATTTGCAGCAAGCGAAATACCACTTCTTGGGTGCATCGTTGGTAAGAACGGTGTACGTCCTGATCCCGAAAAGATCAAGGCGATCACCGACTGGCCCGTGCCGGTCGATGTCAAAGGTCTTCGAAAATTCCTTAGGCTAGCGGCGTATTTGCATAAGTATTCACGCAATTACGCCGAGATGACTGTACACCTCTCTCGTTTGTTGAAAAAGAACGAGAGGTGGTTATGGAACGCTGAATGTCAACGCTCCTTTGAGGGTATCAAGCAGAGCTTGATACAATCCCCAGTCCTAGCAATAGCCGATCAGGACAGGCCATTTCATGTGGTCTGTGATGCCAGCGATTTCGCAATCGGCTGTGCATTAATGCAGTACGACCTTGAAGGCGTTGAACGCGTCGTCTGCTATCAGTCGCGTCAGCTGCAACCAGCTGAGCGGAACTATCCAGTGCATGACAAGGAACTCCTTGCCATGAAGTATGCACTCGCGAAGTTCAGAGTCTATCTATTAGAGATAGACCCTTCGTTGTTTACACTGACCATGCGTCCTTACGCACGGCAGTGAACAGCCCGCACCTTTCACAACGAATGGCGCGGTGGTTGTCATTCTTTGCAGAATACAACTTTACGGTCGAGTACAAACCAGGACGACTTAATGTCGTCGCTGATGCACTCTCACGTCGTCCCGACTTTGAAACAGTCGCGAAACCCAACAGTGAGACAGTCACTGTTGCGGTTATGACGTCCTCAGTTCCATCTACAACGTTGTATGATGATGTGAGGCGGGCATACGCCCAAGATGGTGAGATAGTGAAGTTGTTGTCACATCTCTCCCAACCATCTCGAGAATCGTTGAAACGATTGTCGTCTGCGTATCGATCTGCATCAGATCGATACACTACTCGTAACGGTTTACTGTACTATACAGCCGTTTCTGGTGACACACCACGTGTTGTCATTCCAGATGATACTGATCTGCGTTTGCGGATCATGTTCGAGTATCACGATGCTCCTATAGGAGGACATCGTGGCCGAGAGAAAACATATCTCACGGTAAGTCGAGACTTTTACTGGCCCCGCCAGTATCAGTTTGTGCGAAAGTATGTTCGCGCATGCGAAGTCTGCCAACGAGTGAAGTCAAGTCCTTCACTGCGTGCACCTTTACAGCCTCTACCGGTTCCGGCTGAGTGCTGGGAATCCATCTCAATGGATTTCGTCTTCGGGTTACCCAAAGACGCACGCGGGAATACGGGTATTCTCGTATTTGTTGACAGATTCAGCAAAATGGTACACCTTGTGGCTGTACCAGAGACAATCACGGCAAGTGGCTGTGCTTGTGTCTTTATTGACACCATCTTCCGACTTCATGGGTTGCCCCGTGAACTCGTATCAGACAGAGATCCACGATTCACTGCTGATTTCTGGCGTTCCGTGTTCAAATCACTCGGAACGCGCTTGAAGATGTCAACATCTGATCATCCAGAGTCAGATGGTCAGACGGAACGTGCCAATCGTGTCCTTGAAGAGATACTTCGAGGATACGTACACTCCTTTAAGAGTTGGAGTGAGTTTTTGCCGATGGTAGAGTTTGCCATCAACAACTCGGTGCATGCGTCCACGACACATACACCGTTTTACGTGAATGGCTTGCGCCATCCGCGTGTACCCACCTTACTAGAGTGTAACTCTGGTTTAAGGGGGGAGGGACTCGCGCGAGCAAAAACCGATTTGGTTCACGCTCATCACGCTCTGACGAAGAAGTCATTGCGTTTGATGCCGATATCGATAACATCGATATCGAAGAAGATGATGCCAGTGAGAGTGCGGAAGCCCTCACTGAAGACAATGATCCCAGTGAGAGTGCGGAAGCCCTCACTGAAGAAAAGGTTGTTGTCGCTGCAGTGCGCTCACAGCACACTGAAGCTAACGAGTCATCAGATGAGTTCATACTGGCTCGTGAAACGGTAGTCCGTTTTGTGCAAGACTCCATCGCCGAAGCGGTGGATAAGCAAAAGCAAAACGCTGACAAGAATGGAAGGGCAAACACTCTTTTATTTAATAAAGGTGACTTAGTCCTACTGTCTACGGTTAATCTACCAAAGCATGTAGTGACTAACTTGGGTAGCAGTAAACTACTACCCAAGTACATTGGCCCATTTCGTGTATTGCACCGCCTAGGCAATGCATACACGATCGAGTTACCACGTAAGATGCGAACGCATCCCACGTTTTACGTTGGTCGGCTTAAGCCGTACCATCAGTACGCTGCTTCTTCCGATGAAGAACGCCCTTGCGCTCAAGCATCTCGCAGAGAGCCTTGTGCTCCCGATGGTGGGCATCAACAAGGGTCTGAAGAGCAGTTATCTCAGCCCGAGACCGATCAACAATCCCACGAGCTACCCTTAGCTCGTCACGAAGAGATGTCAGAGATCTCTCGTTCTCAAGCTGAGCAAAGGCAAACTCAGCTCGATGCTTCGAGGCAGTGTCCACCATCTGGAGACGCCTATTCCGCTCATGCTCGAGATCGTCGCGTAACCCTTGCGTTACGCGATCAAAGAAGCTCTCGGGAACACACCGATCCACATGATCGTGTGGAGAGCGTCTTTCCTCCTCCTCCACCTCCATTAGAGGACTCTCGCGGTGGCCAGCGCTATCTAGTTGAGCAGCTGTTGAACCACCGCGACGTGAACGGACGTCGGACGAGTTACCTCGTCCGGTGGCGCGGCTATCCCCCGTCCTGGGATTCTTGGGAGCCCCGCTCCCAATTGATGGTTGACGTACTGGGTCTGGTCGAGCAGTACGACGCGACACATCCTGTGCCGCAGAAGGACCGCCGGAGAAAGTCTTCCCGGCACGGTCGTAAAGGGATTTCAGGTTGTCAATCCCTTCGTACATCTCAGTAGAGACACGTACGCGCCACCACGGGCTGGTAAGGAGGTAAGCCTCCTTAGGTGCTCGTGCAGAGTTGTTCACACAACATGGGCACGAGTCTCCCCAAGAGAGGCAGGGTAA